TAGTCTGTGGAGATTATCAATGTAATAACTGAGAATATTGTGCCCTTTAGTTCATCAGTGACAGCATTAATTATTTCAAATCTGTATTTCCCGGTCCAAGCGACACCAAAAATAGTTCCTTTGTAATTTTGTAAGCACTTTCTATACCATTTTATTGTCAAGGGAAATAAATCTCAAGGCTCAAAGCCAATCTAACCTTCGAGCACGTGAAAGACTCCCTGAAAAAAACTAAATTTTTGGAAATTGATCGCTGTACTGCAGAGATACTGAGTAGTTCAAAATCTCCACTTCGTGATGATTTTCGCGCGAGTCGTACAAATTGCTATTGTGGCGACTGGGTTTTACATGTATAACTGCCGCTGACAAGTTGCGATTTCTGCCCTCAGATTCTCAGCATTTACTAGCGTTCAATTAAGGTTTTCTCCTTTTTTTTGGGTTGGTTTTTACTTAGAATGCGCGGAAATCTGCTGATATATCGAAAAATGTCCATTTCTCGTCTTCTTTGGGGCGACCGATGGAAACTTCATGGAGAAATACAGCATCACGCCATCGTGACAACGTACATTTTTATGACAAATGACCGGTGTGAAGATAGTTTCGTGTAGATCAGCCGACTTCAACATATTTTAAATGACATAAAAGTATAACAGTGTATCTTCAGAGGACTTCGGATTGCTCAAATTCCCATGGGGGAGGTGCAACACTCGGAATCTGGATGATATGCACACGATTTGAGGTATATGTTTGTAGTTACGTCGAGTTGTCCTCCATGAAGGTTGATCAATGTTTTTCAAAATATGACAACCAGAGGCGAGATTTCTCTTCGGGATATTGCTTATAAGATGACATTCTTTCAAATCCTTGCATGTTTCATTTTTCTGAAACATTTGTTGCTGAGAATATTACATATTAACATGGCCAAATTATGCAATATCTGATTTTTGAGCTTTTTATAAAAAGTAGAGGCAGGCCCGCAGAGATTTTTACATAGAATGAATGTTATAAGATAGATAAGATATATCTAGAATGTTATAAACAGCTAGGTGGGTAGTTTCAGTTCCAGAATCGCTGTACTTTTGGAGAAATTCAGATAAACGTTTTCCCTGTTTTACCCGACAACAAAAATGACCGAAACTGTAGCGAGATGAATAATCTATTGGTGTATTCACATACACTCCCAGGGAAAATTGAATAAATCAGTATGAAGACGAATGATGTCACTATGTATGGTAGAAGTGCCAATTTGTAATGTTTTATTTAGCTTGAGATAGAGAAATAAACATTTCACTCTTTTTTTGCGACGTTTTTGTATGAAAATGAGGCCCCAGGCCTCGAACAATGAGCCGTTGTTACCATGGCAACAAGGGTGCTGCGACCTTTAAAAAGAGCGTTTTTGTGCATCCCCCCTGAGTGCCTAACTGCATATAAAATTTGAGGGGGGGTTGAAAATTTTCATTTCCCAAGATGTTTGATTCTTACAGACTTGTTCTTAATAACGGCTGGTGACTCACTATTGCACTGGCTGACTCTGCTGCAGCTTTTCTGGCATATTCCATAGCATCCTTTGCCCGCTGATACTTGTTCAAAAAGTCCTGACATAACATAGAGATTCATATCTGAGCTTACAATGATTTCATCCTTCGAAAGATAAAGTGATCATATCTACTCAAGTAAAATTAACCGTACTAGTTACATGTAACTCGCAGTCTGTAAAAAAAGTAAAAGCCATTTCATTGCTCTTGGCCGAGGCGCATTTAAATATCAGTACAATGAATGGAATTTTATTAAAATTTAAGGCCGAAAAATTTCCATGAAAATATAAAACACAAAATCCTAGAGCTTTACTAACTTCAATTTCTGCAACTGTAAGGAATCA